AAATTTGTTGCATGTTGCAATAGAGTTGAAACAGAGCAAGACAGAGTGTTTCCAGGAGATGTTTATCTTCTCTGCCCTTCTCTATCATGAAGATGATCAAGGGAGGAGTAGATTCAATTATCAAATCATCAATCATTGCAAATTTGTTGCATGTTGCAATAGAGTTGAAACAGAGCAAGACAGAGTGTTTCCAGGAGATGTTTATCTTCTCTGCCCTTCTCTATCATGAAGATGATCAAGGGAGGAGTAGATTCAATTATCAAATCATCAATCATTGCAAATTTGTTGCATGTTGCAATAGAGTTGAAACAGAGCAAGACAGAGTGTTTCCAGGAGATGTTTATCTTCTCTGCCCTTCTCTATCATGAAGATGATCAAGGGAGGAGTAGATTCAATTATCAAATCATCAATCATTGCAAATTTGTTGCATGTTGCAATAGAGTTGAAACAGAGCAAGACAGAGTGTTTCCAGGAGATGTTTATCTTCTCTGCCCTTCTCTATCATGAAGATGATCAAGGGAGGAGTAGATTCAATTATCAAATCATCAATCATTGCAAATTTGTTGCATGTTGCAATAGAGTTGAAACAGAGCAAGACAGAGTGTTTCCAGGAGATGTTTATCTTCTCTGCCCTTCTCTATCATGAAGATGATCAAGGGAGGAGTAGATTCAATTATCAAATCATCAATCATTGCAAATTTGTTGCATGTTGCAATAGAGTTGAAACAGAGCAAGACAGAGTGTTTCCAGGAGATGTTTATCTTCTCTGCCCTTCTCTATCATGAAGATGATCAAGGGAGGAGTAGATTCAATTATCAAATCATCAATCATTGCAAATTTGTTGCATGTTGCAATAGAGTTGAAACAGAGCAAGACAGAGTGTTTCCAGGAGATGTTTATCTTCTCTGCCCTTCTCTATCATGAAGATGATCAAGGGAGGAGTAGATTCAATTATCAAATCATCAATCATTGCAAATTTGTTGCATGTTGCAATAGAGTTGAAACAGAGCAAGACAGAGTGTTTCCAGGAGATGTTTATCTTCTCTGCCCTTCTCTATCATGAAGATGATCAAGGGAGGAGTAGATTCAATTATCAAATCATCAATCATTGCAAATTTGTTGCATGTTGCAATAGAGTTGAAACAGAGCAAGACAGAGTGTTTCCAGGAGATGTTTATCTTCTCTGCCCTTCTCTATCATGAAGATGATCAAGGGAGGAGTAGATTCAATTATCAAATCATCAATCATTGCAAATTTGTTGCATGTTGCAATAGAGTTGAAACAGAGCAAGACAGAGTGTTTCCAGGAGATGTTTATCTTCTCTGCCCTTCTCTATCATGAAGATGATCAAGGGAGGAGTAGATTCAATTATCAAATCATCAATCATTGCAAATTTGTTGCATGTTGCAATAGAGTTGAAACAGAGCAAGACAGAGTGTTTCCAGGAGATGTTTATCTTCTCTGCCCTTCTCTATCATGAAGATGATCAAGGGAGGAGTAGATTCAATTATCAAATCATCAATCATTGCAAATTTGTTGCATGTTGCAATAGAGTTGAAACAGAGCAAGACAGAGTGTTTCCAGGAGATGTTTATCTTCTCTGCCCTTCTCTATCATGAAGATGATCAAGGGAGGAGTAGATTCAATTATCAAATCATCAATCATTGCAAATTTGTTGCATGTTGCAATAGAGTTGAAACAGAGCAAGACAGAGTGTTTCCAGGAGATGTTTATCTTCTCTGCCCTTCTCTATCATGAAGATGATCAAGGGAGGAGTAGATTCAATTATCAAATCATCAATCATTGCAAATTTGTTGCATGTTGCAATAGAGTTGAAACAGAGCAAGACAGAGTGTTTCCAGGAGATGTTTATCTTCTCTGCCCTTCTCTATCATGAAGATGATCAAGGGAGGAGTAGATTCAATTATCAAATCATCAATCATTGCAAATTTGTTGCATGTTGCAATAGAGTTGAAACAGAGCAAGACAGAGTGTTTCCAGGAGATGTTTATCTTCTCTGCCCTTCTCTATCATGAAGATGATCAAGGGAGGAGTAGATTCAATTATCAAATCATCAATCATTGCAAATTTGTTGCATGTTGCAATAGAGTTGAAACAGAGCAAGACAGAGTGTTTCCAGGAGATGTTTATCTTCTCTGCCCTTCTCTATCATGAAGATGATCAAGGGAGGAGTAGATTCAATTATCAAATCATCAATCATTGCAAATTTGTTGCATGTTGCAATAGAGTTGAAACAGAGCAAGACAGAGTGTTTCCAGGAGATGTTTATCTTCTCTGCCCTTCTCTATCATGAAGATGATCAAGGGAGGAGTAGATTCAATTATCAAATCATCAATCATTGCAAATTTGTTGCATGTTGCAATAGAGTTGAAACAGAGCAAGACAGAGTGTTTCCAGGAGATGTTTATCTTCTCTGCCCTTCTCTATCATGAAGATGATCAAGGGAGGAGTAGATTCAATTATCAAATCATCAATCATTGCAAATTTGTTGCATGTTGCAATAGAGTTGAAACAGAGCAAGACAGAGTGTTTCCAGGAGATGTTTATCTTCTCTGCCCTTCTCTATCATGAAGATGATCAAGGGAGGAGTAGATTCAATTATCAAATCATCAATCATTGCAAATTTGTTGCATGTTGCAATAGAGTTGAAACAGAGCAAGACAGAGTGTTTCCAGGAGATGTTTATCTTCTCTGCCCTTCTCTATCATGAAGATGATCAAGGGAGGAGTAGATTCAATTATCAAATCATCAATCATTGCAAATTTGTTGCATGTTGCAATAGAGTTGAAACAGAGCAAGACAGAGTGTTTCCAGGAGATGTTTATCTTCTCTGCCCTTCTCTATCATGAAGATGATCAAGGGAGGAGTAGATTCAATTATCAAATCATCAATCATTGCAAATTTGTTGCATGTTGCAATAGAGCTGAAACAGAGCAAGACAGAGTGTTTCCAGGAGATGTTTATCTTCTCTGCCCTTCTCTATCATGAAGATGATCAAGGGAGGAGTAGATTCAATTATCAAATCATCAATCATTGCAAATTTGTTGCATGTTGCAATAGAGCTGAAACAGAGCAAGACAGAGTGTTTCCAGGAGATGTTTATCTTCTCTGCCCTTCTCTATCATGAAGATGATCAAGGGAGAAGTAGATTCGATTCTCAAATCATCAATCGTTGCAAATTTATTGCATGATGATCTTAGAAGCGATAGGACAAGAGCTTAATAGACATAATGAAAGACAAACAATACCTCATCCCTATCATGGAGTTACCTCATGGGAGGAGGTAGACTTGCTTCATGAATTATCGAACATCACTAAAAAGCATGCAATGATTCTAGAAGCAATAGGTTTAGTACAACATCCGACTGAACATAACTAAATTTTATTATCTTTTTATCTCTTTTTTACTCCAATTTTATTAGCCTTTTTACTTTACCTTTCCATTTTCTTATCTTTTCTTCCTTTTTGTCCAAAGGTGATGATTACATCCACTAAGTCCAAAGCAATAAAGAATAACAAGCATGACTTGACCCGAGAAATGAGTTTTTCAAGCCCTTTTCTACGGGGGAAATTACGAAGGAAGAATCAAACTCATTTACAAGCGATAATGAATTCGGAGTCAAACCTGAAAAGAGCGATAATGACTCCAAATCCAAACCCAATAATGAACTATAACAACTCTTTCCTTTATGATTTCCAAGGGTCTAACTAGAAAATTAGTCCCTCAGAAGTAATGCACCAGCGATAAAGAGAAGTGTCAAACAAAAGATCATGCTTAGCATAAGAGAGATGTAATGCCCTGATAATGAACCTCTGAAGAGATTAAGCCATTTAGCATGAGGGGTCTCTTTCTTATGCCTTAAGCGGCAATCTTTTGTTTGATACAACTTTTAATCAAAAGAAATAAAGAAAGAAGGGAGATTGCAGAATGCTAATGAAAAGGTGGATGATTACAATGACATGAATATATATGAAAGCTATAAAAAAAAAAGT